CAACAGCTGCTTGTGTCAGCGCAGGGATAAGTGCAAGGAGATTAATAGTTATTTAAAGAGCAAATGGGGACATGGCATTTGGCTGTGGCATGCGAATGTATAAATGTGGTGGAATGGCTGCTCCGCTGCTAACATTTAGACAGATGGTCCCTGGACTGAAAGGAATGAAAAGGATCTTTGATTCTCTTAAGGATATCTTAAATTTTAATGGGGCTTTTTTTTTTTTTTTTTTTTAAATTGACTTCCAGGCAGCACCTTCAGCATTTCCAGGCTGTGCTGTCTTGTTAACGCTGACTGCCCGCTTGGCCGTCTTTCCCCATCATCTTGAGTAGCCTGGAATTAGAGGGAGTAGTTTTTAAGAGAAAGCTGAAACGCTATTGTTTTGCTGTCTGTATGTCTGAGTTGGTTTAGGAGACTGTTTTCATCACAGCTGTCTTTTCATCATTCTGCTGGTTAGGGAGTGTGTCTGATGCTAATCTCTATGAGAAATGAAACAACTGAGTGATACTTCTACAGTTTTGAGAAGTCCTCAGGTCTTATTAGGGTATGCTGGGGCAGGAGGGCAGGGAGTTTTGCTTTTTTATTAAATACAAAATTACTGAGCAGGAAAAAGACTGTTCCTGGTGCAGTACACCAGCATTCTGGCTCTTCCCCGTACAGAATTAGCCTCGAGGGAAAACATGTACCAAATGTCTGTTAAATAGGTCTTGGTTGGCTGAATAGCCCACAGGAGACGAGATGTTAACTGTCATCTGCATTGCCAAAGCCATGATCTCCTTTTGGAGAAGAACAGCTAGTCTGGATGGCTTTCTCAGTCTCCTGTGTTAACTATTTAGCATGTTTTGACTCAAGTCGCAGGTACTTGCTTGCCCATCTAACAGTGGCGCTGGGCATCTATAATATCCCCGCTGTTATAGATGGGGAAACTGAGGCAGGGAGGGCAAATGACTAACCTGAGGCAACACAGAGTGTCACTGGTTCACCCAGGATTAGGACTCAATATGTAATTGCTTTTATTACTCTGCTGCCTGAAGGCCTCAGACAAAACGGAGGCCCATTAAGCAGAGTGCTTTTTACATAGCGAGGAGCAATCCTTGCCCTGCAGACCTTGCTGCCTGAAGTAGGCTGAGGGTGGAGGGGGAGGAGAGGTGGCTTGCCCAAAGACACAGCGTGTCGCTGGCAGAGCAAGGGAGGGAACCAGCTCTCCCTCCTCTCTGCAGACCATCCCAGCTCCCAAAATGAAGTCCCCTGTGCTGTTTCCTGACAGACCTTCTCCTTCCCGCCATGGTTCATGCTGATCCACCTCTGGAAAGTCTGATGTACCTTGCTGAAGACCCCACAGCACCAGGCTCACCTTGGGCTTTTAATTAAAAGCCCATAAAAAACCAGCCTCTTCCAGTGAAACAGAGGCAGAAGCCTAAGGAAAAGCTTTATTTGGTGGCTCAAATTTCTCTTCCTTCTCTTCTGGAAGGACAGCTGAGAGCATGAATTGTTTGGGTGTAGGAACAGCACTTTATCCTTGCAAAGGGACCAGCCTGTTTTCCTCCATGGCTGAAATGACTGGAGAAACTGGGTGTTAAATGGCTTGTTCAGGGTCCCTGGGAAGCTCGGCAGGTAGCTTGTGCCATTGCCTTTCAGGTCTTTGGAAGAGTGATGATGTACTTGAAACTTCATTAGGACTGGTGGGATTCCCAGTAAGGGGAAAGCTTTTTGTTATGGATCTTGGTGGTGGTGCTCTGACTCGGGGAGTCTTTGTCGCTTGGCTGATAATATAGAGTTGCGTTTGAAAAAGAAGCAGCTCTTGGAAAGAAGAGGGAAGTCTGGAGCAGACTGGCTGAAGTACTGAGAGATACGTGAGCTTGATGGCTCTGGGTGGGATTGAAGATGTAGGATGTGGAGGGTCATGAGGTGCTTGGACCCTTAAACAAGGGGAAGAGCCTGAGCCCCTTCTGCCATGTCAGCTGCTAACTGCAGAACCAGGCATGTGTATTGCTGTTGGGAATGGGTGCCACAAACCTTTTGGGTGCTGCTCTCCCTAAGCTGGGCAAAAGCAATGCCTTTTGGACGTATGCAGGGATGAGACTACCTGTACCTGGCTGAACCCCGTGTGCTGTTCACCTGCTGCCCTGTCTCTGTGGCCAACACTGGGTCCTTTGGAGGAATAAAAGATTGGGGTAGCTGTGTAACTCTCTCTCCCCCAGAATACCTGCCCAGCTTCCAACTGTTTGTGGTTCAGAATTTTAAAACTGGATATGCTGCCTTGGTGGATTTTTCTCTAGCAGAAATTGCCTAATGCCTTTTTGAACATACGTAGGCTCTTAGTATCTGCAGCATTTTGTGGCAGAAAATCCATGTGGGCTTTGTGAAAAACGACTCTGTGTGTGTTCAGACCAAAATCCTACTCAAGGTGTTCTCTTGTCCCCCACCTCCTAGCTTAAGAGAGCATGAAAATTCATTTTCCATTTGCTTTTTTTCCATATTGTTTAGGAATTTGTCCCCTCTTGTCGTACTGCTTTCCGCCTCTTTCCTCACTGTCTCTTTTTTTTCCAGGCTGAAAAGTTGTCATCTGCTGCTGTGTTACAGGAAGGCATTGAAAGACTCTTCATTCTTGTCATCTTTCTCTGACTTTTTTTTTTTTTTTTGTTTTTCCCCCCCATCTCTTTGAGATGGGGGAAACAGGGCTGAAGAAAAAATTTAGGGCATTAGGCATGTGACTTTTCTGCTAACCTCTCTCTGATCTAACCTTTGCCTTTTTGTACTCCATTCTCTAGCCTTCATTTTACATGTCTTCAATTGTCATTTGTACCTGGAGGCTAGTTTCAGGGCACAATCACATCTGATCATTTAAGTGCTACGCACTGTACAACTCCTGCTGCTTAAGTATGTGGGGAAGCCTTCCCTGCTGTGAGCTACCACGCTGCTTGACGAGACCTTTAATTCCTCTCTACTACTGCCTACGACCAGTCACTGGGAACCGAGTGCATGCTGCAGCCTGGTTAAGTGCTATGAACCCTTTCTGCAGTGAGTCACACTTCAGTGCAGTTACTACCCGAGTTAGAGGTCCTAAATGTCACCATGCATAGCAGGATCGGATCCACAAGAGGAGCAGTCTTTGCATAGAGTGCAAGACCATCAGAGATGATGTATCCTTGTACAAGCTAGAGCCAGTTGCACTGTGAAGAACCTGGTGGTTATAGCAGTCTCCTCAAAAGGGTCTTGGCCTGGGTGTTGCTAGACATAGGGAGCCTGTCTCCTCATGATGGCTTGCTGCCCTGAGCATCACCTCCTTGTTACGTGCAAGCTCTTTTCCCAGCTCAGCAGTTGATCTGCTGTGTGGCTGTGAGAAGCTTTACTACTTTCTGTTTCAGTCACCGATGTAAAATGAGGTATACCCTTTGCAAATCTCCCTCCTCTTGGTGTGACACGTGTTCGATGGTGCTGAGACTGTGCTGTGCATCCTCCATCATGAAGGCCGTGCCATGGCTAACCAACCTAAGCTGGGCAAAAGCAATGCCTTTTGGACGTATGCAGGGATGAGACTACCTGTACCTGGCTGAACCCCGTGTGCTGTTCACCTGCTGCCCTGTCTCTGTGGCCAACACTGGGTCCTTTGGAGGAATAAAAGATTGGGGTAGCTGTGTAACTCTCTCTCCCCCAGAATACCTGCCCAGCTTCCAACTGTTTGTGGTTCAGAATTTTAAAACTGGATATGCTGCCTTGGTGGATTTTTCTCTAGCAGAAATTGCCTAATGCCTTTTTGAACATACGTAGGCTCTTAGTATCTGCAGCATTTTGTGGCAGAAAATCCATGTGGGCTTTGTGAAAAACGACTCTGTGTGTGTTCAGACCAAAATCCTACTCAAGGTGTTCTCTTGTCCCCCACCTCCTAGCTTAAGAGAGCATGAAAATTCATTTTCCATTTGCTTTTTTTCCATATTGTTTAGGAATTTGTCCCCTCTTGTCATACTGCTTTCCGCCTCTTTCCTCACTGTCTCTTTTTTTTTCCAGGCTGAAAAGTTGTCATCTGCTGCTGTGTTACAGGAAGGCATTGAAAGACTCTTCATTCTTGTCATCTTTCTCTGACTTTTTTTTTTTTTTTGGTTTTTCCCTCCCATCTCTTTGAGATGGGGGAAACAGGGCTGAAGAAAAAATTTAGGGCATTAGGCATGTGACTTTTCTGCTAACCTCTCTCTGATCTAACCTTTGCCTTTTTGTACTCCATTCTCTAGCCTTCATTTTACATGTCTTCAATTGTCATTTGTACCTGGAGGCTAGTTTCAGGGCACAATCACATCTGATCATTTAAGTGCTACGCACTGTACAACTCCTGCTGCTTAAGTATGTGGGGAAGCCTTCCCTGCTGTGAGCTACCACGCTGCTTGACGAGACCTTTAATTCCTCTCTACTACTGCCTACGACCAGTCACTGGGAACCGAGTGCATGCTGCAGCCTGGTTAAGTGCTATGAACCCTTTCTGCAGTGAGTCACACTTCAGTGCAGTTACTACCCGAGTTAGAGGTCCTAAATGTCACCATGCATAGCAGGATCGGATCCACAAGAGGAGCAGTCTTTGCATAGAGTGCAAGACCATCAGAGATGATGTATCCTTGTACAAGCTAGAGCCAGTTGCACTGTGAAGAACCTGGTGGTTATAGCAGTCTCCTCAAAAGGGTCTTGGCCTGGGTGTTGCTAGACATAGGGAGCCTGTCTCCTCATGATGGCTTGCTGCCCTGAGCATCACCTCCTTGTTACGTGCAAGCTCTTTTCCCAGCTCAGCAGTTGATCTGCTGTGTGGCTGTGAGAAGCTTTACTACTTTCTGTTTCAGTCACCAATGTAAAATGAGGTATACCCTTTGCAAATCTCCCTCCTCTTGGTGTGACACGTGTTCGATGGTGCTGAGACTGTGCTGTGCATCCTCCATCATGAAGGCCGTGCCATGGCTAGCCAGCCTGTGCTAACATTGCTTCTGTAACACTCTTGTGCATCTCTTTGCCTCTAGCCACAGTATACGAACTTGGGGCTCCTGAACAGCATGGACCAGCAGATCCAGAATGGCTCTTCCTCCACCAGCCCCTACAACACGGAGCACGCGCAGAACAGCGTCACAGCCCCCTCGCCTTACGCCCAGCCCAGCTCGACTTTTGATGCCCTCTCACCCTCCCCAGCCATCCCTTCCAACACAGACTACCCAGGACCTCACAGCTTTGATGTATCATTTCAACAGTCCAGCACAGCAAAGTCAGCAACGTGGACGGTAAGGACACAGCAGCACTTTGCTCCTTCTCTTGCTTTGGTCCTGATGCTACTAGTGACATTATTCATGCAATACACATCCAGATTGTGCAAGAATGGAGTGACCCGTGTCCTCTTCAGTGCATGATGTCACACAGAAGGGAGAGATTTATCTTGGCCACTCTGGGAGGGTGTGGTGGGAATTTAGCCCGCAATAGTATCACTAAATCCTAGGTGAATAAAATGCCTTGCAAAAAGACAGTCACCTAAAGACCTTATGTGATGGAATGTTAGCTCTCCATCTGGGTCTAGCAGGTGTGCTGGAGTAAAACATGGGGTTGGGCATAAGCATGGCTTCAGCACTTCCCTTCACCTCCTCCAGCTTCCATGGGTTTGCTTAAGGTTTGGCATGTGCAGCTGTGCCAGCAGGATGGAGGTGGTGGGCCCCACTCCGACCCGTGGAGCGCAGGGCTTTCTCTTTCTCAGTGTCCTTCCCCTCTCATAGCTGGTGTGGGAGCCCTGGTGTCACCAGCTCAGGTCAGCCACAGCATTTCATTTATTTGTGTGTGTGTGTGTATATATATATATATATACACACTAGCTCTTGCTGTCGGACTAGCCCCGTTCTCATAAAAAAAAAAAAAAAAGCAGAGCCTGAAACTTGAAGCCCAGCTCTTCATTTTTGGTGGAGCTGGCTTGATTGTTTGAGCTCTAGCAACCTTGTAGCCCAGGACGCAGCACTGCTGGAGGTGTTTGTCCTGTTGTGGTTTAGGGCTCTAGGCTAGAGGTGTTTGCAGTTGAGAATATTGCTGTCCTTAAAGATGTTCAATATTTGCGTTCCTCTCCTCCAGGAGCTTGGAGTAGGCACAGTGAATAACGCCCTATCTCATGCTACCTGAATAAAAGCAGGGACTCAATTTTGTTTAAAGCAAGAAAGATTCACTTTTTACCAAAAGCTAAGAACATTAAAATAGTGTGGGCTTTTTTCTTTTTTAATCTGAGGAAAAACTTCTGTCT